ACTTAAATGTTTATTGGAACGTGTTACCCCAATATATCCCTGCAGTGGTGACCCAGCTGCTTTAGATACACATTTCACACTCTCACAAGTAGTGCGAGGCCATCTCCTCATGCTAGTTGTCCTTTGTTTCCAAACTATTGCCGGATGATGCCAAAAATGGCAAGTGTTTAGGGTATGTTTTATTTAGTCGGTCAACAGTGATCACTGTTTTGGAGAAAGGCTTGCCACCTAACCACTGTTACAGGTAATGGGATGCACCCAAACTATGTCTATGATGTTTTAATGATTTCCAATTACGAAACATCACTGTGATCAGACCTGTCGCTCCGATCACTCTGTTGCTACCTTCTATCACTTTGATTCGTTTTTCGTGAAGAGACCGGTGAAGGGACCGGTGGAGGTCAGGGACCGTTGAGCAATCTTGGCTGTTCGGCATTCCATGAGAAAAACCGGATTCCGATTCCACGAATCACGTGTCTTGTTCATTCTTGTTCCACTGACCACAGGCTATCCCCAAGGCCTGGGATGATGGGTGGGGATTTGAGCGTAGCGGTCTCCATGCATGGAATATGTGCCTACATTGACCCCTGATACTGGTACCAGGTACCACGTCTCGACTGATCAGTGAGTATGTCATACATGGAGTTTGGGGCCCAGGGGTACGCAAAGGTCAAGGCCCCATGTGGCGTGATCAACAATCAACACCTGCATGCTGTGGCAACCGGCTGGCCTCAAGTGCTCAATCTCAAGGAAACCGAGATTGGCCCCTCCCCACCCGCTGGCTGCACGCCAGTTCTCCTTGGCGTGCGGTGGCAAGCGCGTGATGCGTCGCAAGCGTGGCGTGGTTCGTGCCTGCAGTGATGACGACTCAGACGCACCCATGGCCTCCCACCAAATGCCTGGGAAATCAAGGAGACCTGGATGCAGTGATTAGATGATCAAAGGAAGTTTAGGGTGCAATACTTCCGTGTTACGGACTTTCGTCAGCTCTAGCTCTAGTCAGCTCTAGTTCCAGTCAGCTCTCTAGCTCCAGGTAGCTCTAGCTCTAGTCAGCTTTAGCTCCAGTTAGCTCTAGCTTTAGTTAGCTCTAACTCCAGTTTGCTCTAGCTCTGGTTCGCTCTAGCTCCAATCAGCTCTAGCTCCAATCAGCTCTAGCTCCAGTTAGCTCTAGCTCCAGTTAGCTCTAGCTCCAGTCAGCTGTAGCTCTAGTTGCTCTAGCTCTAGTTAGCTCTTGCAATAGTTAGCTCTAGCTCCAGTGAGCTGTAGCTCTAGCTCTAGTTGGCACTAGCTTCGTTTTGCAGGTCTTCAACATGCATTTTGGAAGGAAGTCTCGTACAAAATGCATTGAGAGAGAGCGGATGCACGAAATGTTGCGTTTTTCCATACAAAGTGTGGTTTCGAACCTGGAAAGTCAAGCTCTGCGGAACGACGGCTTCCGGACGGTCTCGCGTCATGCTCGGATCAGGCTAGAATCATCCCTCCATTGTAACTAGAGTTTTCACCTGTTTCTGGTGTACGTTCTGTTGATGGAATTCCATTACGTTTTGCAACTCCTGGATGGCCTCCGCCTTGTAAACGTGACTGCAAGTGTTGCTGGTGGATGAGTTGTCGCTGGAATTTCATTGTGTTTTGCAACTTCAGGATCGTTCCCGCAATGTAATTGGCACTTTCATGTCTGGTTGGATCATCTCTTCCAGGTACATTTTTTGAGGAAGTCTCGCAGAATTGCTTCGTTTTGCAGGTCTTCAACATGTTTTTTGGAACATTTGGAAGGAGTCTCGTACAAAACGCGTTGTAGCGGGTGCACGAAATGTTATGTTTTTCCATACAAAGTGTGGCTCCGAACCTTGAAAGTCAAGCTCTGCGGAACGACGGTTGCCGGACGGTCTCGCGTCATGCTCGGATCATGCTCGAATCGTTCCTCCGTTGTAACTAGAGTTTTCACCTGTTTCTGGTGTACGTTCTGC